GTACTATTAAGAGTACATTTAGGAGACTTAAGTTCCTCGTACTATTAAGAGTACATTTAGGAGACTTAAGTTCCTCGTACTATTAAGAGTACGTTTATAATTTGCGTACTGCTTAAGAGTACGTTTATACATAAGAGTCTAATGTGGAGGCTCGGCTTATTACATTGATATGTTTGCTGCTCATCATAATGCGCAACTGCCACGATACCGGACTCTGGAACATCCAGATGGCATGCGTTTCAAATCAACTTAACAGACGAGAACACATGGGCGAATTCACAGTGGTTGTTGATACTACAGTTGCTAAATTATGTACTATATAAGATGCTACCAGCACGCTGTGTTGTTCCCTAAGACATTCAGATAAATGGCGCCCACAGTTGACATAGATGTTACAATGTGAGCCTATATATGTGGATAGAGAGATAGATACTGTCCTCTACCAGGGTACCCGTGCAGTCCAAAATTCGCCTTGGCGACATACAATTATATGTCGAATAGGACTAGTTGGAACATCCAAATGGACACAATTGGAGACCTTCAAACGTTAGGTTGAAGAATGCAGGATTCCACTCTTGATACCTAAGTCTCGATGAGAGGCTGCGACAACACACGCACCTGCAGTATGCGTCACTGAGGTACAATCTGATCCTACAGAATCAAAGAGGAACTCAACACTAGCAAAAGTATCCTACAAGAAGATATGTTCTGACAGAGCAACTGCATACGAAGCCGAGACAAAATTACTTCAGCAGTTGATGAACGATTTTCCAGATGTATACGATCATGTAACTCAACTAATGGACAGGGCGAACATTGGTAGAATTCACACGGCCGATCTTTCAGGCGAAATTGGACCAGACGAGTCTTCAAGTCCAAGTGATGTAGTAGTGGAATCATCACCTCCAGACTTTGATATAGCAAGTTCACCGGAAGAAGATATTCTGAAGTGGCTAAGGCAGATTCATGCGCTTAAACACATGGATAAGGTTAGGACTGAGAAAGATTGTAAAAGGTACGGCAAAGCTTAAGCAATATATATCTCAGGTGTATCACGAATGCAACGACTGCAAAGTTAATCGAATCAAGCGCTACGGGTAGGCACAATTGCAAAGCGTATCAGAAGAGGAGCAATGGCGCAGGGTTGTCATTGATTTGGTTGAGCTATCCACGTCCGAACACATGAAAGATAAGTATGTCTGTCAGTGTTTGATGTTGCTTCAAAATAGAATGTACTATTATATCTGAAAGACAAATCAATACAAACTGCGGCTGAGTGCATATATAAATGTTTCGCAGATTTCGACTGGCCAGCTACTGTATGTATCGACCCGACAACGGTAGTGAGTTACAGGAGACGTCATGACAACACTATTACTTGTTGCGGGATCATGCCAAAAGATGGGTGTACTATATAAGCATCAGACACAAGGTGCAATCGAGGTACGCACAGAAAGATGAAGAAGTTCATGTGTGGAGCGTTACTAGACGATTGTGACATGTACTCAATTAACTGGGTACAAACACAAATGAACGAGACACCGGATACAGTCACTGATAGAACACCCGCTCACTATTTCAGAGGCCGTTATAGTGAACTACTAGTACTTTTCAACAAGAATTCTCAGGAAGATCATGTGCTACCATGGTTAGAGAAGATACGTCGTACCAGAGATTTTGTCTTTCCTAGCTTGAGAGAGATGAAGGATATCGCACTCAAGAAAAGATACAAGCGATGAAATGATTCGAAGAAGATAGTCGAGTTTGAGGTGGGCGATATAGTCATCATCATGGCTCGCAACTCCGATACAACTGTGCATACAGCTGAATACATTAGACCATTCAAGATTTCAGTGGCCAATAAGAAGAGCGGAACTTACGAAGTTAACTTTGGTGATGGTTCAAGTGCTCTTAATATCGGATCACAAGTTTAAAAGATCATGGAATGTATGTGCCTCCTAAAGGCACTAAGAAATGTCCCATCCACTATCAGGGACCTCAAGGACCTAAACCGAAACGTAATAGAGTAACCGAGTAACTTATAAAGTCTAAGTATACTTTGTCTAAGAAAATATAATACAAGCATTGCACAGAGGCCATTGTGTGATCGAGACCCGTTTCTTCTTTTTGCTTATACAATTCAAGTGAGTTTTTTGTCTATGTGCTTCAAATCATATTTGTGAGTGGTCGCAGGGTGCAAGGGTCGTAGGCGTAAGTTTAGCGGACGCAGGCGTAAGCGTCCAATATAGCAGTCGCAGACATAAGCGTCAGACAGTGGTCGCAAGTTTAAGTCGCAATTTTAACACGTTAGACTAGAGCGTCAGACTTAATGGTTGCAAAACCAAAAGTCAGACTTAGTGGTCGCAGTCTTAACTCATCTCACAGTTGTTGCCGTTAGGTTGGCTAGTAGAGCTTAGTTGTAGTAATCTCAAGGGTGCACATCGTTTACTGTGCTAGCCTCGCTAGAACCAGTGTACAAAAGGGTCGACACCTAGGTTGGTTCGCTAGTCTTACAAGAGTATCAGAGAATGACATGTGAGTGTTCTACTCCTAGTTGTGCTATGTCCATGTGTATGACTGCACAGGTCAATCGAGTGGACACAAACCGTTTGCTGAACATCACCCACCTGCCGTGAAGAATATTTTGGATGTACGATATTTCAAAATTTTAATATACATACGTATACACCCACCACAACATTTATGCCCTGCATATTTTCCAGTCGTTTGAAAATCGACTCAAATTCCCAAAGCCACCCTCTACAAGTCAAAGCCAAAGTCGCACCGCGGCACTCACCGCACTGGGCCACTGATACTGAGACTGTGACAGGCGGCAGAGCAGACAGGCCGGCTCCTTCTTTTTTTCCTTTGTTTTGTTTTTGCATAGCCTCCATTAGATAAAGTCAGTTGAGATCTAAGCCTCAAGACCGTCGGAAATTAGGACCACGTTTTCATCAAAATATTTTTATGTTCAAAAACACACACAATTTACACACACACACACGAGGACTAAAGCCCTTAAGACTATGGCTGTTAAGCGTCCCGTTAAGACTACGGCTGTTAAGCGTCCCGTTAAGACTACGGCAGTTAAGCGTCCCGTTAAGACTACGGCTGTTAAGCGTCCCGCTCTCGCCTCCCTCCAAGTTAAGCGCCCCTCTCTCGCCTCCCTCCAAGTAGGCGCCCCACGCTATAATAAGTTTACCCAATACGCGTTCAACTCAGACTAAAAAATAAAATACTTGCACGTAATATTTTATTCATAACGGACATAAATCACATACTGCCATAGTAATCTCTAATAATTTATGCTACATAACCAACATATAGCGCATATATCGCATACTGCCATACCAACACATGCTACATCATATGCTACATAACCAGCAAATTTCACTTACTGCCATATCAACATATGCACCATATAATATTTATCACGCAATGTCAATCAATTGCATGACTGTAGTGAAATAGGGTATATATAATAACTAGTGCAACAGGATCATCATTCATATTTGACTTGTGTAATACAGTATACTTGAAGTTTGTACGATGGCTAGTAAGCTGGCTACACCACTAAACCGAAAGTAAAGGGTAGAACTGTCGATGTTGACGCAACACCCACGAGAATAACCCCAAAACGAGAAGCGAAGTCCAATAATCCGTACTGTATAAAGTATGAAAAGGATCAAGCCGCAGACGGTGAGGATAGCAGCAATCGTAAACGAAAGTTGTCTGGCCACAACAGCGACCGACCAACCAAAACTCTTGACCCTGGAGGTAAGGAACCCAAAGGTAAGGAGGAAAAGCAAAAGCCACAAGGGTTTGCCTAACATACGCTTTGAACAGTTGACTCATGCGCACGAGCATGAGATAAAGACAGGTACCCTATTTTTACTACCCGATAAGAAGCTGTACCGTGTTCAGAATGTGGTGGGGGATGGCAATTGTCTTCCAAGAGCTGGTGCGAGCATCCCCATATGGTACTCAGGCAAAACGTGGCGACGTGTGACAACGATCTATTGTTGGAGTATGCACAGAATCTATTCTTTTCCACCGATCGTGACTGGAAGGCAGCCCTTGCAAAATGGAGGTCTGCTATGGTTAAGTCTGGCACCTGGATGAATGATTTTGTGTTTCTTAGCCATTTTTATTATGTATAGCATTGATATCTGTACGTGGCGTGTGAGATATAATAGTAAAGTGTAAAGTGAAAGTGACAACATCTAGATACTTAACTTGGAATTTGACGTCCAGAAGTTTTGGGCAATTGGCATATTCTGACGAGGTTAGAGGTCACGTGGATGCCTGCATCGCAGCTGATAGGATTCATATCAACATCTACTATCGGCCCCATCTTCACTTCATGTATCTGGAGATGCTTGACAGTTTGTCGCCGCCGAAAGAACCAGCTTGGACGTGTATTGAGTGTTATATATATATATATATATATTGTATACTTGCATATATATGTATGTTGTACTGTTGCCTTATGCGTCCCACTCTCGCCTCCCGCTAGATAAGCTTTCCACTCTCTCCTCCCGCTAGATAAACGTCCCACTCTCGCCTCTCGCTGGCTCAAACAGTAATTAGCGCACCGTTGCGCACAGGTTCATGCGTAGATGCAACTTTATGTACACGGATAAGCACGCGAGCATAGTCACGGATTGTACATACATCTCAAAAATATACCTCTAAATGTTAAGAGAAGTTATTTTTTGAATGCAATGCATGCGTATTTTAGACTGTACGCACTAGTGCATGCCTTCGTGCACAAATGAATGATTTGAGCGCGAATCTTATTACTGTAGTGAGGCATTACCATATATTCATATATATATATATATATATATA